CTGGTCTTGACACTTGGCAGGAATTCACCAGGGCAGGACTGGGGTGGGATGGGGGTGGGGGTGGGGTTTCCCTCCCTCCCTGCCTTCATGCTTCAGGAGCAAGACCCAAGAGAGTCCAGTGATCAAGGATGCCCTGCAGTTTCACCTTGCAAGCGAGGTGCAGAAACGTGCCCAGGCGCGGAGCACTTCTCATTTGCAACTCTCCCGGATCTCAACGGGGGGCATCAACCAACCCTGCGGATGCAAGAGCTCGGTGCAAAGCAAGTGCATCCCAAAGAGGAAGCCGCTGGGACCACCCTCTGGGTCTGCTGGGTGGGGGGGGGGCGTTGGAGGATGCTCGGGCCACCAAGTCCTGCAAGCAGGTGCTTGCGTCCGCGTTCTCCTTTTGGACACCCCCTGCGCACACCGTCCTGGGGCTGCCAGAGATCATCTGATCTCTCCCCGGGCACGGCCCGGGGGAGCCGAGGACTTGGGAGGAAGCGGCGCGACCGCCAGGGAAGGTGCTGGTCCCCCGGGGGTGCTGCGAGGCCGGGTCCGGCCAAGCGCGCCTGCAACGGCCCGTGCAGGCCCCGCTCGGGAGCGGCGGGGCGGGCGGGGGCGGGCGGGGAGCCCGGACTCTGCCCCGGCGGCCACCCCCCGGCCTGACCTCCCGCCCCGGCCAGCGCAAAGTGCTGAGTCACGGGGAGGCGCCCGCGCGAGGGGGGCGGGGCGGCACCCCAACAACGGCGCGGCGTGCAAGCGCCCCCGGCCCGCCCGCTCGGAGCATGCGCAGCTCGGCGCCGCGCGCCGGCCCCCAACCGTCGCGCTCCCAGGTCCGGGTTTTCCGGGCAGCCCCGTGGGCGGGGCGTGGGCGGGGCGTGGGCGGGGCGAGCGCGGGGCGTGGGCGGGGCGAGCGCGGGGCGTGGGCGGGGCGGGCGCTGAGCCTCGGCCGGCTGGGCTCGGACCAGGCTTGCCTTTTAATGCAGGTTAAGGCAAAATAATAATAAAAATAATAATAATAATAAGCCCTTGTGTCCTCCTTGGAGCTGGACCACAGGAAGAGCCGATTTCCCCACCCCCCTGGGCAGGACCGAGGATTCCCTCGGTCCTTACAAAGCCAGAGTCCCAGCTGATCTTTGTCGGGAGCTGTCCACTCTAAGAGCCCGCCCACGGAGTGCAAAGCCCAGAGCTAGGTGCCATCCGCAGGAGGAAATGAAAGAGGCAAAATGCAAACCACTAAAGCAAAAACAAAAACAAAATAAAACAAAACAACAAAAAAGGAGTAATTCCTGAGTGCATGAGCTAGGAGTAACCCCTGTGCATCGCCGGGTGTGACCCAAAAAGCAAAAATAAGTTAATTAATTTTTTAAAAAAATGCAAATCACTGGGAGAGGGCTGTTGTGGGAGATGACTGTTGTGGGAGCCTCGCCCCATGGTGCGTCCTTCCCCAGCTGCTCTCAATCCCATAGCCTTGGTAAAGGTACTTTGTGGAGGTTAGCATTGACATTGGGCTCAACTGCCAGGTAGGGCTAATAGCTAACAAGCTGCATTTGGCTTTTGGGGCCACACCCGGCGAAGCTCGGGTTACTCTTGGCTGTGCACTGAGGTACTCACCCCTGGCAATGCTGGGGGGACGGTATGGGATACGGGTGGTCATCTGGTGCAAGGTAAAAGCCCTACCCACTGTACTACCATTCCGGCCCTAACAACTGCATTGGGTTTATGGTCAGCCTGGGGCCTTTTTTACAGGGTGCAGGTCTGAGGTTCTGGGGGGGGGGGGGGAGAATTGTGCACAATTGTTATAAGCCCTTGTGGTTGTAACCAGAGTCTAAAGCTAAGTGACTCAAATGATAGGTGTAAGTAACTCTTCCTCATTTAGTATTGTGCTGAGCTTTGCGTAGGGTAGAACCAAGTCTCTTACGGTTCTATATCCCTTTTTCCTTATTAAAACCAACCTTTTCCAAGAAAGATCAGCTTTCCTGATGAGGAAATGCAACACAGGCAGGAGAAAAGTATGTGCTTCACTACAGCGTGGATAAAGTTCTATACAGCTTCAATTAGTGTAATGAGAACCATACGTGAAATATTCGATTTTCCATTAGTTTCTAGTAGTCATTTAAAAAAATCTAAAAAGAGGGGCAGGAGCGATAGCACAGCCCGTAGGGCGTTTACCTTGCACGTGGCCGACCAGGGTTCAATTCCCAGCATCCCATATGGTCCCCTGAGCACCACCAGGAGTAATTCCTGAGTGCAGAGCCAGGAGTAACCCCTGTGCATCTCCGGGTGTGACCCAAAAAACAAATTAAAAAAAAACTAAAAAGAAACATGCATTTTAGCATTTTGTGTCTTAGCACATTCCAATTAACGAGTATATAAACATGTAACCAACATAAAATTCAGCTGTTTTCATTTTTTTGGTTGTCTTTGAGTTGCGAGTGTACATTATACACAGCGTGTCCCTGAGGCTACTTAAATTTTCATTGTCGATAGCTCATCTGTATGCAGATTACATAAAGTCAACAACTGAAAAAAAAATAACACGTTTGGAACCTGTTTTGAATTCATTTTTCCCCCAGCAACTGAAATGGAATATAAAATTTTGAGTACATATTTAATGAACTAAGATAAATTTAGTTTCTCGGATTGGCCTTGCTGCAGATGCTCAGTAGCCATATGGGGTTGATGACTGCTGTGGACAATTTTGTGAACAAGTGATGGAAACATGAGATTAAGATAGAGGAATAGCAAAATAATGCTCTAGATGCATTGTTTGCATGAAACAAATCATCAGCACTGTTTCTCCTTTCACCTGTTTTCAACTTGTCATTCACAGGAAGCTAACATTTATATGAAGCACTTTCTAGAATAAAAGGCATAACTTTTTTTATTCCAGAGGAAATCACTAATGTGGATTTTTTTTTTGGGGGGGGTCACACCTGGCGATGCACAGGGGTTCCTCCTGGCTCTGCACTCAGGAGTTACCCCTGGCGGTGCTCAGGGGACCATATGGGATGCTGGGAATTGAACCTGGATCGGCCGCGTGCAAGGCAAACGCCCTACCTGCTGTGCTATCATCTCTCCAGCCCCTAATGTGGATATTTTTAAAAAATATGATTCTATCTAATGTAGAAATAGAGGCATGTACCAGATCAACAAAAATACAAAGAGGTGTAACTGGACTCAAAGCAGGAAAGAAAAAAAAGAAAAATCAAGCAGAAATTTCCAAGCAGGAAAACAGAAAAAAAAAAAAAAACCAGGATAGAGGCCAGGGTAAAGGCAAGGCTTTTGTTTTCGCAAACAAACCAACCTCCAAAACCTGGAGAGCAGCGGTACAAAAAAGAGGCAGTAGCTGGGGTCATGAATCAGCTCTGGACAAATTAGTATGAGACTAAGTTGTTATTCTCCTTGTGTACTGAGAATTGAAGTAGATCCCGAATTCTAACATCTTCCCTCCTATTCTCACACTCTTGTGCATAGCCCCCCACCACTTTTGGAAATCAATGGTCAGATCTTGGGTCTCCACGTCCCCAAAATTCTGAGATGAGCATATCTGGTGTGAAGGAGATGGGAAAAGAAATTCCTATTATACCCATGCTCAGCAGCTGAGTCCTTAGGAAATGCTAACTTTGTTAGCTTTCTCAGGGGAGCAAGCGGGCAGAGTAAGAGTACCCTTTCTAGCATTATATATATATCATGGTCATATCACGGTCCTCCCGTTGTTCATCGATTAGCTCGAGCGGGCCCAGTAACATCTCCATTGGAGACTTTGTTGTTACTGTGTTTGGCATATTGAATACATCACGTGTAGCTTGCCAGGCTCTGTATAATATATATATATATATATATATATACACATATATATATAAAATCAGATGGGCTGGACACGTAATGAGGTTTACAGACAACCGCTGGACTAGAGCCATTACTGATTGGATTCCACGGGATGTCAAAAGACCGCGTGGATGCCCACCTACAAGATGGTCAGACTTCTTTGTCAAGATCCTGAATGATCGGTTTGAGGCTCTGCATGTTCCTAGAACGAACAGATGCCACTGGGCTACGCTAGCATGCAACCGGGATGAATGGAGACGTTACTGGCACCCGCTCCAGTAAATCGATGAATAACGGGGATTAAGTGATTAAGTGATTAAGTGAATATATATGTGTGTGTGTATGGTGTACACACAACCTATATTGTGCCTAGCCCTGAAATATCCATATGAGATGGAACTAGTCTCATTCTATGCACCCGTGGAAATAAACAATGACGAAGAGACAGCATCGGACATAAGGGTCGTCTGGCTCCCCAAGTTAATCTTTTCTCTTACCCCACCCTCTCTGTATTACAAGGTCAAGGCCCCCTTCCCACGTGAATAATTAGTTTGGCGGGTCCTTCCCGAATCCAAAGAATCGACTTGCTGCCCGGAATTCACTGTCTCTTTGCAAGAAGAAAAAAAAACAGATTTCTGGGGGCTGGCGAGATCATCCAGCGGGCAGGGCACTTAACTTGCCTTGCAGGCGGCCCTCGCGCGTTCCATCCCTGGCACCCCAGGTGGTCCGCCCAGGTGTGCCAGGTGTGATTCCCAGGTGTAAGCCCTGAAGCGAAGCGGGTGCTGGATGTGGCTCACAAACGGGTCACGAGGAAAAGAAAAAGAGAAAGCTCCCCCCAAAAAAAACAAACCAAAAAACACAGGATTTCTGGAAACGGAGTTTGCCTAAAAATCGAGGAGGACCTAACTCGCTCCCCCCGGCCCCGCCCCGTCCCAGCGCCGCCCTAGCCCCGCCCCCGACGAAGCCCCTCCCCTCCTAGGCTCCGCCCCTTCGCGCCCCGCCCAATCCCCGCCCGCGCACGCCTCCGCCCCGCCCACTCGGGGGCCGTTCGGAGCGGTCTGCCACGCCCCCTCCCAGGCACCGCCTCCTTTCCCTGCTCGCCCCGCCCCCAGCCCGTAGTCTATAAAACGCGGAGCGGCGGACCGCGGGCCGGAGCGGCGCGTCGGCGGCCGGAGCGACTGGGCATGCGCGGCGGCGGCGGCGGCGGCGGCGCAGGTTTGGGTCACAAGTAGGAAGAAGCCGGAGCGCGACGCCGGCGGGGCGCAGCGGGGTCGCCGCCTCGGACCCGGAGCCGGAGCCGGAGCGAGGGGGGGCCCCGTCGCTGTCCGCCCTCCGGTCCTCGCCTGTCCGCGTCGGGGCCGGGGGCCGGAGTCGCGGAGGGGGAGCGGCGCGACCCTCCCTCCGCCGCCGCCGCCGCCTGCGCCCGGGGGTCGCGCCCGCCGCAGCCCCGCGGAGCAGCAGCAGCAGCAGCAGGAGGAGGAGGAGGAGGAGGAGGAGCAGCGGGAGGAGCCGGAGCGGGGCCATGGGGCTGCTGTCCCAGGGCTCGCCGCTGAGCTGGGAGGAGACCCGGCGCCACGCCGACCACGTGCGACGCCACGGCATCCTGCAGTTCCTGCACATCTACCACGCCGTCAAGGACCGGCACCGGGACGTGCTCAAGTGGGGCGACGAGGTGAGCCCGCCGTCCCCCACCCCCACCCCGGGGTGCCCGCCCGGCGCCCCACGCCCCGCGCGGGCCACGCGCGATTCCCCGGACCGTGCAGTTCCTTCCTTCCTTCCTTCCATCCATCCATCCATCCATCCATCCATCCATCCATCTCATTCATCTCATTCATCCCGGGGCTGGAGCGGGCACGAAAAAGTGTCCCCCAACCCCAGGGGTTCGCGGCGGCGGAGTGTGGTGTCTGCAGACCCTCTTGCCACAATGTAGCTTGTCAGCGGACCCTCTTGCCACAGTGTAGCGTGTCTGCCGAGCCTCTTGCCACAGTGTAGCGTGTCTGCCGAGCCTCTTGCCACAATGTAGCGAGACCCCTTTTCCCAGGGCGGGACGGACCTGCCCAGTCCTGCTTGGGGCGGGGGAGGGGGGGAAAAAAAGAAAAAAATGGGGGGAGAGGGGTGTGCGTGCGGGGAACCGAACCCAGAACCTGGCGTGCCGCCGGACCAGTGCAGTTGCGTGCGGCCCCTGCTTCCCTCACTAATGGGAACACTTGGTACCTTCGGTTCTGGACTTGGGGGTGCCGGCTCGTGGCCTCGATCCAGCCACCACTGGAACTTGACAGGCCGGGTGCTTCACCCAGACTTGTTGTTCTGCCCGGAGGTGAATGAAGTGTTCCTGGACTCGGTGCTGGACCATTGTTTGCTGGAACGATCTGAAAAAACACAGTTTCCTGCTAGGTAGATAGAAAGGGCAGCTGCCAGACACCCTTGTGTGTCCTCCCTGCCCGGTGTTTTTTTTTTGTTGTTGCACAGTTCAGCTAGGTGGGGGGAAAATAAATAAATAAATAGTCTTGGCCTTTTACCGTCCAGGGCTTTCCCCAGGTGTAGCGTCTTCGGGGATGGTCAGGGTAAGATACTGGACCTAAGTTTGAAGCGTCTGCAGCAAGTAATGTAGGACCTTTCTCCTTTGCAAAAAAAAAAGTTTTTTCTGTTTCTCCGATGGGAAGGTGATTCTGCCTCCGATAGCTTGAAGGGGTTGTACTGTTTTAAGATGAAGAAAGGACCATGACTGGTAATTCACATTTCAGTTATAAGTGATTTTGTCAGGAAAGTGATAGGTGCCGTTTTAGTCCAAAGTCGGATTTTCTTCTTGATGAGCGTTTTATTTTGTATGATGTGTGCGTTTGTGTGAATTTTGTGATTTGTCTCCTAGGCTTATTTTCCCTTCCGGATCTTCCTTTGCCTTTTCCCCTCTCTGTTGACAAAACAGGGTCTTTTGGAAAGGGGAGGGGAAGTTTAAAAGAAATCACAGAGTGGAAAAGTTACATTAACTTGGGAAAAAACTTGTCAAACCCTCCTCGTTTCATTCTTTCTCTGATTTTGCCTCAGTCGTGTCTTAGGGTAGTGTGTAGAATTTTCAACAGAAAGTTTCCCTGCCTGCGAGTTTTGAGAATCTGATTGGAAAGAGCCTGACACAGAAGGGGAAAGTGTGAAGATTGTGGCCAAAAAAAAAAAAAAAAAAAGTCTCTCTTTCTAAAATAACAGCTCTGTGAAACATTGGTTTTGCTCCAACTTGGTTCTCTCACCCTTGCTGGGTAGGATCTTTCTGCCTTTTGGGGACAGAGATGTGACATTTTAGAAGGAGGCATCTTCACACGCAACCCCCTGGCTGATGCCTTTATTTCTCTCTCTGGCACCATATCGAAGTAATCACTTGGTTGTGTTAGAAAGTTTTATGCAACATCCACTGCTTTCAGAAGCCTGAACTTGTTTCTGAGGTTTTATAGATGCGTGTATTCTATGATCTGTTCTCCGAGAATTTTATCCTCTGCAGGATTAAAGACAAAATGGGCAAATACCCATTTATCATACATAGTAAAATCATGTGAGATTTTTATAGAAAGTTGTGTGAGGCGATGGGTGTTGGGGGTCATAGGTAAATGACACCTACCTGGGTTCCCTTCAAGTTGAAGGAGGTTGAAAGCTACCCAGCTCTCGGATCTGTCCTGGAAGTTGTTTTTGAGATGAGCTTTAGAAAATGTGCCGGAGTAGGGAGAGAAAGTCCCCCAGTGTTAGCATTTCAGTTATAAGTGATTTTGTCAGGAAAGTGATAGGTGCCGTTTTGTCCTTGCACAAAACAGGAACCCACTTTCATATCCTTAGTGGTCTCTTTTAGTAAACAGCTCAGGTAGCTCGCAAGCTTGTTTGCATTCAGGAAGTCTTGGGAAGTAACAGAGAGCAGGCAGATAACAGAAGAGAAGGGCGTGGTGAGTAATGTGGGTCTGGAGATGGATGGCTTTGGCAGTCAGAAAGTGTTTTTGTGTGTGATATGTTGCACTGTGTTGGTGTGATACCAGAATACTCCTCCTTGTGGGAAGTTTCGGTAACTACTCACAGGGCCATGGATTTGGATTTACAAAGGGAAAGGATAAAAGGGGAGTCTTAAAACAAAACAAAACAACTGAGTGTGGAGATACAGTTGGAGATACAGTTGGAAGGAAAAGTGTGACACTGTAGAAATGATCATCCCTCATTGCTACACTGTTTTTCTCTGACATGAGACAGAAACTTTCCAATGTGCATCTGGTGGTCCATAGTACTATATTCTAAGGCCTGCCAAATCTGTCCTCTCCATAAATGATCATGAGCCTCAGTTTGTTTTGGAAAATAGAAGGATTGGACTTTCTTCGATCGATCCCTTAGAGCTCTTACAGTTTGAATTACAATTTGTATGTGATCTTTCAGTGTACATGTTCAGTGTACATCTTTGACGGTCACCTTCAGATAACCTTTTGGCTACCATAATCACCACGAAAATTGGGTTGTGATGTAGAAGTTGTGAGTAGGCTGCTTTGGGGAGCCCCAGAGTAACCTATAAATTGGCGGGTTCCTGAATTAGCTTACAGATGTTTATCTTGCTGTTCCTGTGTGAATCCTGCTCTCAATTACCACTAACGATTCTGTGTTGAGGGAAATCAGTTATAATTCTTAGGAGCCAGGACAATCGTCCCAGGATGATTCCTGAGGCAGGAGGAGTGTGAGGAAAAGTTTATTGGCTATTATGCTCAGTTACCTGCCCAGGGTACGAGAGATGCGGCCAAGTAAGGGTCATTCACAGCTCACATGCTCTCATGGTCAGGTTTTGTTTATACCTTGAAGTGTGCACATTGAATAGGCAAGTCTGAGAAATGCTTGCTGCAAAAGAGAGAGCTCTTCCTCTGGTATTTTTTGCGGTTAATCTTTTAACCATCTGCCAGCCTTTTCAGGTACTTGGTGGCCCAGACTTTGGACTAAAAAAATCGGTCTGACTTCATTTCTTAAACATGTTGGATGAGGGTTTGTATTTGCGTACGTGAGTTTTCATCGACTCTCCTATTACAGAATTTAAAGTGTATACAACAACAGTTTGGTATGCAGCACGGTAGAAAATACCACTTGCAGACAAACAGATTTTTTTTGCTAATTTTTTTTCAACCTGGTATTGTGACTCTTAAGGCCAAAACCTCTGCTAATTAGTAAGGGAGGGGGAAAAAAAGTCCTTGAGAGGAAATAGAATCTCTTTTAGTATTTATCAGTGTATTCCTATGCAGAAAACAGAGGAAATTTGGAGAATGATTAGCTGGTTTATTGGCTGTTGAGTGTGAAGTGTACTTAAGAAGTCCAAAGATGGTTAGTTCAAAGGGCTGGAGTCCCAGTGTCCAAGGCCAGAGTCCCAGGTTCCAATGAACCTGGGAACCAGCTACCAGGAGCAATCTCTCAACCCCACTGGTTGTCACCTCCTCCGACCCCCCCCCCCCCCGAAGTAAAGTAAAGTAAAGGCCCTCCCGTTGATCATCGATTTGCTCGAGCGGGCCCAGTAACGTCTCCATTGGAGACTTTGTTGTTACTGTGTTTGGCATATCGAATACGTCACGGGGAGCTTGCCAGGCTCTGCCGTGCGGGTGAGATGCTCTCAGTAGCTTGCCGGGCTCTCTGAGAGGGGTGGAGGAATCGAACCTGGCTCGACCGGGCTGGCTGCGTGCAAGGCAAATGCCCTACCGCTGTGCTATTGCGGTCAACCCAGGTTCGATTCCCAGCATCCCATATGGTCCCCTGAGCACCGCCAGGATATAACTCCTGAGTGCAGAGCCAGGAGTAGCCCCTGTGCATCACCAGGTGTAACCCAAAAAGAAAAAAACAAAACAAAACATTAAAAGATGCACCCTCACCCCCCCAGAAGAAAAAAAAGAAAACAAACACCAAAAATAAAAATGCATAAGGGACTATTTAAAACGCATAGCTTACTAATGAATAAGTGTAAGATCCTGTCACCAAAATAACATTGTTCTGAGCGTACATTTACTGTGAACAGTCACATAGTCATTCAGATCTAATTGAAGATTCTCTGTGACTTGAGGCAAACTGTTTAATTTTTAAGTTCAGCTTTGTCATCTACACAGTGAGAGCAATACTGCTCTACTGTGGAGCTTTGAAGATGAAATAATGTTAGTGAAATGGTTTTTATAAGGGCCTTGAGTACTTTTTTTTTTTTAAGATTGAGGCATAAATGATAGCTTAAAATGTAACATTCAGTAGCCCTGCACTGTAGCCCTGCCCTCCCGTTGTTCATCGATTTGCTCGAGCGGGCCCAGTAACGTCTCCATTGTGAGATTTGTTGGTACTGTGTTTGGCATATCGAGTACGTCACGGGGAGCTTGCCAGGCTTTGCCATGCGGGCGAGATACTCTGGGGAGCTTGCCGGGCTCTCCGAGAGGGGCGGAGGAATCGAACCTGGCTCAGCTCGGCTGGGCTGGCTGCGTGCAAGGCAAACACCCTACCGCTGTGCCATCGCTCCAGCCCAAATATTCAGCATAGCTTTTAAATAGCCATGGTGCTAGAGGAATGAGGCATTCACGTGAGTAAGAAACAAAGCACTACGGGTAACTTTTGGGAAAAATTCTTTACTTACTTTGGTTTGGGGACCACACCTGATGATACTCAGGCGCCAGGGATCAAGCCTAGGTGGGTTGTGTGCAA